GGCTATTTTTGGTTGCAGCCGTCATTGTTGTTTTTTGGCGGGTCCGGGCTGGGGACTCGAACCCGCCACCCTAGGTGTACGTGGCTGGCGCCCTAGCCGGTTGAGCTATAGGCGCCGAGCCAACGAACATAAATCTTAATGGCCTAATAAAGCCTGTCCTCCCTGTCACGTCTGTATTTAATGTTGCACATAATAAGAACAGTGCTAACTTCCCCTTAGAGTCCCCCAGGTCCACTCTAGCCAGGGGGCCGTGGCCCACACTCAGCAGTGCAAGCACCCACCTTTCCGCTCAGGGCCGTCTCCTTTACCTTGAACTTGATGTTGTTACTGATGAGCTGATTGCCCTTCATGAACTCCTTCTCATTGCCCCGGTTCTCAGTGACCACCGGGAAGGCATGGTGGACCGTGGTGCGGAGGATGCTGACCAGGGACTGGATGCGTGTGTGCGGGTAGACATAGGTCAGGTTGGGCTCCATGATGTCGCTGGCTCTCAGTCTGCGGGCAGGAAAGCCACCAGCCTCAGGACGGAGCCCACGAGTGCCAGCCCTGATGAGGCCATGCTAGTCCTCCGTCACTGCCTGACCTCTCGGGGCTTCTCTCTGACTGTTCCCAGCGGCTCCTTAAACCCAGTGCCTTCCTCTGTACCTCTATCCTGTCCACACATGCTGCCCCATGCCCAGAACGCCCTTCCCCTCTTTGTCATGCTGGGGGGCCTTTGCTACTCCTTCAGCTTAGTGCCAACATCCCCCCCACCATGAACCCCATCTGTTTGTCCTGGGGGTTGGTGATCCCCTTCCTGGCATCCTGTGGCACAGGCCACGTGTCACCGCTGAATTGCTAATACTGCTTCTAGAACTTTAAAAATGTTTAGGTCTTCCATTGGATCACTGATGACAAACCACAGCCCACAGGTCAGCTCCAGCCATGTTCACAGCTTTCTGCTGCAAATGTGGAGTTGAGTGGTGACACAGACCATGTGGCTGGGAAAGCTGAAAGTAATCAACCCTCTGGCCCTTTACAGAAAGGCCTGATGGCCCTGCACCAGCCTGTGTGGGCCTTGCCTGACACCCAGACACAGGGAGCCCCCAGTCTCTGTGGATTATGAGGCAGGTTGTCAGGAGATTATGCCCAGGACAGTCACTGTGGACAGGATGACAGTTAGTTAGGCACAATGAAACTGCCAGTTCTCACTCTACTGTTTAGTGTAGCCTTAAATAATCACCCATATCACAGACTCAAGGCAGAGGCCTCACGTCATAGCTAACCAGAATGTTTCAGGAGCCCAACATAACCAGGAAGCGGCCTCACCTCCTGCAGCCCCCACTGTGCCCCTGTCCCTGCCCTCCTCCTAAGCTCCAGACAGGCTCAGGAACAAACATGCTGTGTCTTTCAGTCCAAGAAATACCAGTTATTGGCTTGGCACCCATAGCACAGTGGTTACAGCTCCAGCCACATACACTGAGGGTGACAGGTTCAAACCCAGCCCGGCCCAGCTAAAGAACTGCAAGAAAAAAATAGCCAGGTGTTGTGTGGTGGGTGCCTGTAGTCCCAGCTACTTGGGAGGCTGAGAAAAGAGAATCGCTTAAGCCCAAGAGTTTGAGGTTGCTGTGAGCTGTGATGCCACAGCACTCTACCCAGGGCAACACAGTGAGAGATTATCTCAAAAAAAAAAAAAAGGAAAAGAAATATCAATTACATTTCCTACCCTGATACCAATAGGCCAAAGCTTACAAATTCTGAAGCTGGGATGTAATAAAAATCATGGCCTTACTTATCCATTTCCACCTCGGTCTCCCACTCCAGAAGCGGCACGCCTCGCAGGCCCACGTGGATGTCATAAATGCCCTTGTTGAAATAGTCCCCGATCCACTTGGCCACCTGAAACACAAAGTGAAGACCTGAAAATAGGCCCTCTGGGGTGACCTTGGCCCTCACCCGAAAGAAGCCTAGAGGGGAAGCACTCACCATCAGGGTGATCATGATGGGAAGCCCATACGTGATCTCGTTGGTGGACTCGATCAGGATGACTGTGAGACTGATGGTCATACGGACGACCCCGCCCAAAAGAGCTGCGGCACCAATCAGGGCAAAGGTCCCTGAGTAGATGTGGCCCAATCCAATGTAGCTGGGGAAGAACAAAACCGAGAACACAGCTTAGCATCACGCCGGCGAGCTGGGGCGGGAGGTACAGAGAGGGCGTACAGTTCGCATGCATGTGCGCACCCGCACGCACACACAGTACCTCTTTAGGAGATTGGCAACTAATCGTCCATAAGCTGCTCCACACAGCAGAATGGGCACAAAAAGGCCACTTGGAACAGAAATGCCGTAAGTCCAACATGCAAGCAAGAAATAGAGGACGAAGAACAAGGCCAAAGTGACAGGGCTGAAAGTACCTGCAAGGCAAGAACCAGCTACGTCCCACTACCCGACGCCTGCCAAGGCCCACCGGGCTCCTACAGGTCCTTCCATACCCCAACCAGCTCCCCTGCCAACCCTGGAGGCGGACAGCAATATTTCGTCTGGGTTGCTGTCACTGAACAAAGGGGAAGTCTGTTCCTGCTCAGCCTGGCTATGCCTGAGACGAAAACACCCAGGAATTGGTACAGCATGGGGAGGTACCCACCGTCCTGGTGGAAGAGCTGGAGGATGGCAGACTCCTGGGGGTTGAAGAAGAGTGTGGCCATGTCATTGTAGGTATCATTGGGACAAAAAAAGGTCTTGGTGCTTGAATTCACATCTTCTGTTACCATCTAAGAGCAGAAATCAAAGTCAGTAAAAGAGCCCCTGACTTTGGAGTCTTCAGGCAGGATTTCTGCAGCTGGGACAGAAAAAAGATGGCTGAAATTGCTTTCCTCATAAATTAAACAGGTGGCAAAAATCTGATCTAGGCCAATAGCAGCCAGCTGGGATATTATATTCTGTGCAGTCTGAATGTAAATACCAAAGACTCCAGACAAGCCTTTGTCCGTCCACATTCATAATGAAAATGTCACTGCAACCATGAGTCCTCATAGGTTTGGCTCCACTGCCTCTCCTGGTGCTGACACTGTAGTGATGCTGCCAGAGGCCTGGCCTGAGAGCCCCAGGGACTGTGGGAGGGGCAGGTGAGACACAAGTGTTTGAGAAGAAGACTCCAGGACACCACTTGACCTGAAGCCCCAACTTTGTTCCAAATGCCTTTGCCCTGAATTTGCTGCCAAATGAAACCTACCTCCACGTAAGGCCTGGGGAGCAGACCCCAGGTCCCAGCCGCCTCTCCTCCTGAACCCCGTCTGGTGAACAGTAATTACTATACTCCTGTTCCTGCCATCATGCTCTGTGAGAAGATGAGGTCCAGGTTCTCAGTAGGGGCAAAGGGATCTCAGCTACGACATTTGTGTTCTAGGTAATGGTGCACAGTAGTACAAGTATTGTACTTCACACCTGTCACATACATGGGAATAGTGTTGTGACAATCAGTCAAGGATGGGAGTTTTTCCTGGATTCTATCCTACTGATGCTGTAGTGACGTCCTTATGGGGACATTATAACAATACCAGGTGATGGTCTGTGTGACCCCACCAGGTGAACCTGGCTGGTAATACAGCCAGATGCAGGCTGTGATAGGAATCAGGACAGTGCTCCCCTACCAGCAAAATCTGGCAAGGAGGATTTGTGTGTACAGCCCAGCACAGCAGAGTAGGCCAGGGCAGGGCAGAGAGCAACTGTGGACAGGCTGAGCTAACAGCTTAATAAGCAGCACACGCAGTGCCTCCTCAACTGTCTGGAGGAACCTCAGTACTAAAGGCTCTCTGGAAAAAGTGCTGCAGTCGACTGCACCACAGCAATTTCTGGAAATGAGTATTTCTGCTAAAAGCATAGCCTCCAAAATTAGATGGTTTAGACTCTGTTCTTCCACTTCTTAGTAACCTTGGAAAAGTATTTCATTTTGCGCTGTTTTAGTTTCCTCATCTGTAAAATGGGAGCAATATCTACTACCCCATGCTCCATATTATCACCTGAGTAATCCTGGTTAAGACCTCACTTTGCCTCAGTTTTCTCCTTTGTAAAATGGGGATGGACACTACTACTGGCCAGCACGGTGGCAGTAGGGACTGAATAAAATCCTTTACGTGAAGTGCTTTGTGGACCACCTGACACATCAATATACCACACATTTGTAAGGCTTACTGGAAGAAAGAGCTTAGGGAACCCTGTCTTAAAGAAACTTATTGAATTCTGCTTAACCCATTGGATCATGTAATTTTGTTTATTTTTGAAATATATCTATCAATATTCAATAACAGAGCGCATTTCGGAAAATGCCCGTCTGGTAATGAGCTGGCCTTGGGAGTAACGAATAAAGAGGGGTCAGTAGATGTTCCACAAAAAGCCAGATAGTAAATATCTTTAACTCTGCCAGCCACATATAGTCTCTGTGGCATACTTTCCCCCCAACCCTTTAAAAATATTAAAACTATTCTTGGCTCGGCGCCTATAGCTCAACCGGCTAAGGCGCCAGCCACATACACCTAAGGTGGCGGGTTCGAATCCCCAGCCCGGACCCGCCAAACAACAATGACGGCTGCAACCAAAAAATGGCCGGGCGTTGTGGCGGGCGCCTGTGGTCCCAGCTGCTTGGGAGGCGGAGGCAGGAGACTCGCTTGAGCCCAGGAGTTGGAGGTTGCTGTGAGCTGTAATGCCACGGCACTCTACCAAGGGGGACAGCTTGAGGCTCTGTCTCAAAAAAAAAAAAAAAAAAAAAAAAAAAAAAACTATTCTTAGCTTGAGGCTACATAAAAATAAGCAGTGGCCAAAGGCCAGACTTGGCCTGTGGCACAGTCTGCTGACCCCTACTTAATACAGACTGCTGTATTAGTTCACAGACTGCTCATGGGGACGCTAAAGAGGCAGCCCTGCGAGACAAGGGTTCCTTAAAAGGGCTCTGAGAGATGAAGATCTAAGTGGCTACTTAGCAGCAACATGAAGACCAAGTCCAGCCGTCCCTTGGTACCCGCCGGAGACCGGGTCCAGGACCTCTGGTAGATGCAAAATCCTCAGATGCTCATGTCCTGGATATAGAACGCTGCAGTATTTGCATATAACCTACGCACATCCTCCCATGTGCAGAAGGACCTTCACAGTGGACCGTCTCCCTACACTGACCACTCCTAAAGTTGACCTCATTTTCATAGACTGGACAAAGACTGACCTCTACATACTGACCACCTCTTAAGTTGCATCTTAACCACTTGGACTGTGACACACAATATTAATTTACCCTCTATAATTTGACCACTTGAGCCTGCTTCCCTCCACAAGGTAGGTCTGGGCTTTGCCCCTTAGCTGTATTAGCTTTTCTTTTCTGTAAGTTCTTTTTTCACGTTTTATCATTAGCATGTGTAGGATTAGGCCTAAGGTCCTGAAGTTTATCATGTGTTGTGGAAGATTTTTTTCAATGTGAAGGATTGGTCTGAATTATAGATACATCATACAATTAGTGAGAAATTTTACAGTTAATTGAGACATGATGGCCCAAAGGCAAGAACTCAAAAGAACTGACATTGAGGCTTGGCACCTGTAGCTCAAGCAGCTAGGGTGCCAGCCACATACACCAGAGCTGGCAGGTTTGAGCCCAGCCTGGGCCTACCAAACAACAACTACAATCAAAACATAGCTGGGCTTTGTGGCGGGCGCCTATAGTCCCAGCTACATGGGAAGCTGAGGCAAGAGAATTGCTTAAGCTCATGAGTTTGAGGTTGCTGTGAACTCTAATGCCATGGGACTCTACACAGAGCGACATAATAAGACTCTCTCAAAACAAAACAAAAACCCTGACATTGAAAGAAAAAGCTGGAAAGCAGCCACCGAAGATAACAGAACATTTTGGTGTTAGTAAGACCACAGTTAGTAACACCCGCAAACGTCAACGTGAGTGCTGGAGAGATAGGGCAAGGAAAGCAGAGACCTACAGTGGAAAAGGAGGAAAACTGCCCTCAGTGAATTTACGAAGACCCATTAAGCTGTCTCAAACAAAAAGGCTCAACTAACACCTAAATCTCTGGGCCGATGATTCAAGAAGTTGCTAAAAAATTTGCACGGGAATGAGAGGTGGAAGATTTCCAAGCAACAAGTGGTTGGCTCAAGAAATTTAAACAGCAACAGGAGACCTCCCAGAAAGTCTTGTGTGGTGGATCCAATGAAGTTCCAGTAGAAGTTGGGGAAGAGTTCATCAAAAAGTTCCCGACTTCAAAGATGGCGTCTTAATGTTGATGAGTGTGGACTCGTTCAAGGTGATGCCTGCCAGAACCCTCATCATGAAGGGTGGCAAACGTAAGAACGGGAAACTTTCCAAAGAATGTTCCACAGTTCTGCTTTGGGTTGGCTCAACCGGAGAGAAACTAAAGCCCTTGGAAACTGGGAAATCAGCAAAGCCACCTGTACTCAAGAACCCGAAGCCCAAACACCTCCCATCACTTGGAGATCAAACAAACGCACATGGGTGACTGGTGTCCTATTTGAGGAGTGGGTAAGGGGTGTCAACCCAGAAATGAAGAATAAACAGTCTATTCTACCGAGCAGACAAAACGGTCCTGGCCACTCACAAGTGAATCATCTCACAAACATGACACTGTAATTTCTGCCTCCAAACACAACCTCAAAATCGAACGGCTTGATCAAGTCCTGTTCTCATCCCTCCTTAATGCTGCGATCTATTTTTGTTGTTACAAAGGGGGTGCGACCCACAGGTTGAGAACCACTGACCAAGTCAGTAAACATTTCAGATGCACTACCAAGCCCAGCTCCCACAGCGTGCCGTGACTAAAACACAAACCTGGGGTCCCGCCTGTGGAAGCAACTCCATCCGCTGCATCAGTTAACGCTCTAGGTGCTGTCCTCTGGATCAGTTCTGCTTGGAATAAAGTTCAGCCAGAAATGATACAGAAGTGCTTCAAGAAAGCTGCATTTGTCACAGCCCAAGAGCACGATGTTTTGGCCCCATCAGGCAGTCCATCTCCCACGGCCGAATCGCAGGAGCAGGTTTTGAAGATTTTGTTGGAATGGACGATGAGGTGGGAACCTGTAATGAACCTGACCCAGAGGCAGCTTTCCAAGCCATACTGACCGAGGTACAGAGTCAAAGAGCATAAAGCAGCTGATACAGTGGAAGAAGCAAGTGAGGATGACACAGAAACTGCAGAGGCCAGATGAAGAGGATGCCAGGCGGCTGATAACGCAGCTCAAGTAACTTGCCCAAGTAACTTGCTCAAGTAACGTGCTGAGTGGTATAGCCAGTGTTGAGAGGGCTTTCTCTACTTACGTTTATAGTAAGAACGAGAAACAGGCCAAGACTCTTTTTCAAGAAGAAAGACTAAACCATGAGGAAACAGTAAATGTAATGATTTTGTATCAAGCTGCACGTATGATTTTACTGTGCTTTGATTATGGGTGACTTTTTATGATATTCTCTAACAAAGCTGTACAAGAAAGTAAAGCACACATTTGTATCAGTACAGCAGGCCTAGTTCCTTATGTTGACCAGTTTGTTATAGACTCTTGTGTGGTCAACTTACAGAGGTTGGACTATACTTCAAACCATCTCTAGACTACTCATATCTGGTACAATGTAAATGGTATATAAATAGCTGTTACACTGTATTTTTAAATTCACGTTATTTTTTAGTAGCATTGTTACTCTTTTTTTTTTTGAAGTAGAGTCTCACTTTGTCCCTGTGGTAGAGTGCCATGACATCACAGCTCACAGCAACCTCAAACTCTTGGGCTTAAGCGATTCTCTTGCCTCAGCCTCCCAAGTAGCTGGGACTACAGGTGCCTGCCACAGCGCCTGGCTATTTTTTGGTTGTAGTGGTCACTGTTGTTTGTCAGGCCCAGGCTGGATTCGAACCCACCAGCTTTGGTGTATGTGGCTGGTGCCCTAGTTGCTGAGCTACAGGCGCCAAGCAAGTATTGTTATTCTTTATTGTTTTTTTCTGATGCTTTCCATCCCTGGTTGGTTGAATCCAGATGTGGAACCCACAGATATGGAGGGCAGACTGTGCTTGGAGAACACTCACACGCCTCTGCCCTAGGGGCTGGAACTATACGCCTGGCCGATCTGAACCAGAGATCCAGGTCTCAGACCCACTGGCTTGGGCCAAAAACGCAGGGTGGAGTAAGCTCCACTGCCTACCCCATGGGCCCTGCTTCTCAGAGAAAGCTTCTGGAAAATACCACCATCCCTAAGAAGGGAAAAGGAGAAATGCAGAAAGGATGCATGCGAGGAAACCGATCAATCCCAGGAAGAACCAGAAGATGAGAGGAAGATGGGTCGCTGGTTGCCCTCTGCAAACACTCCTTTCTCTCACAGTCACCAAGGCAACACGGTGGGCGAGAAGCCTCTGGGCAGGCGGGCCCCCTTCACACATGGAGGGGCGGGAGAGTGACTGGGGTGTGGAGAAGTGAACAGTCAGCTTTCTGAGCTGCCGTCTCAGTTACTCTTGCTCGACAGACAGGAGTTCCCTTCTGCCCTGGTCGGGATTGTTCACAAGAGCGGGAAAGACAAAGCACATGTGGTGTGCAGCCTCACTTAGGGGACAGGATGACTACAAATTTCTGCATCTTTTAGCAATCTGATGCAGGTACAGAAGGATGAACCCAACACGTCTATGAGCTCTAAACAGAAGCAAGCCATACATTTCTGGATTTTTCTTTGTGGGTACAGGATAAAAGCAGCAGGTACACTGGGGTTACCTGGAGGTGCAGTGAGTTATTTCTGGTTCGACTTGAAGGCGACAGCTCTCGACATTCTCCTAATACCATTGAGGCCACAAACACCACCATGGTGGTTACCAGAGACACCAAGAGGCTCTCTAAGACTCTAGGAAGCAAAGAACAGCTGTTGTAATGCAGTGAAAAGATGCCCCGGTCTTAGGAACTCAAGAACATACCCGCCTCCCCTTGTTTCCCCAGCGAGCATTTACAGCAGCCCTGGTCATTCAACACATGTGCAGAATTTATTAGTTCACAACTGCTACATTCCAGCCAGTTGTATATGAGAAATGGGTTGTCAATAAAGTGGGCTGTGGTGTATACACTGTCTCTGTCCGAGGAATTTGTGTTAAGTTTCCAGGGAGGCTGTGGGAACCCTCTGATTTTGTGACATGTCCCTGTGGCCAGGAGAACCTGGGAGTCAACTAGCAACTCTGACATAAATTAAGCTCAGACTTAGCCTTTTGATCTGTCTGATAAGTGAGGCATGATCCTGTCTGTTTTCAGTCTTAGACGAGAAATCAAAGCTGGTGTGGGGAGCATCTGTTCCTCGGGAGAGATGGCCCGGCCCACACCACGCTCGGGCCCAGCAGGCTAGGGGAGGTGACTGCATACCTGACGAGCTTGGGTTTCGGGTGCACGTTTCGCATGCGGTACTTTGCAAGTCTCTTGTTCAGGCAGTTGAATATGGCTCCCAGGAGGCCCCCGATGACACCCATCACGACGAAGAAACCCATATCCATAGCTGTCCAGAGGTGACATTTCTTATCAGAGTCAGAGCACTGAGAGAAGAGAAAGGGAGACAGAGAGAAACCACAGCAGCTGTGAAAACAGAAGGGGCAGAAGAGGAGACAGAAACAAGAGCCAGGGCCGTGCTGGAGCTCTGCCCACACCGGCACGAGAGCACACGCAACAGGCTGCAGGGGCTGGACGGCCGGCCTAGAAGCTGCATCTGCCCCTCTAACTCGCTTCTCCCTGATCCTCCACCTCAGAGCAATTTTCTTTTTTTGAGACAGAGTTTCATTTTGTCGCCTTCGGCAGAGTGCTGTGGTGTTACAGCTCACAGCAACCTCAAACTCTTGGGCTTAGGCAATTCTCTTGCCTCAGCCTCCCAAGTAGCTGGGACTACAGGCGCCCATCACAACGCCTGGCTATTTTTTGTTGCCCTTTGGCCAGGGCCGGTTTCAAACCCACCACCTCGGTACATGGGGCTCTACCCACTGAGCCACAGGTGCTGCCAAGACCAATTTTCATGGGTCAAGTAAGAAATCCTGGGGGAAAAGGACAAAACATACCTTAAATTCGCCGAAGTTGAGTAATCCAGGGAGCTGGAAGGAACCCCAATTTCCAAACTGAACCCCAGAACGGAAGAAGTTGAGGGTGAAGGTGGCAGACATGGAACAAAAGAGCTAAGGGACAGGTGACAGGAGATAAGGAGGTTCAATGATGGCACATCCTACTCTCCCCGACCCTTCTCCCCAAAACCCACTGCTCTAAACACAGACCTGCGGTATCTCGGTCAGGGTACAGGGATTCAGTAACAACTGCAGGCAACACACCCCAATCACGTATGACAAATTTAAATGAAGGGCTCTCAGAAGACCTCAGAAGCAGGCTGCAATGATAGCCTGGGTACTGGAAGCCTACTGTGGATCGGACGCTGAGCCAGGAAGGAAGGAAGGGTAAAAGCAAGGCCAAGGGCACCCCAGCCTGAGGTAGCAGCCAGGCTCATGTCCTGACCCTGTTACTTCCTGCCTTACAATGACTCAGTCTTGCGTTTTCATGTTAGCTGGTTCATCAAGAGAGGATAGCAGCAGTTTGATTTGGGGTTGACGGTCTGGGGATGGGAAGGGTACTAACTTGAAAGGAGAGAAAGTCCACAGTTTGGAGGTTACGGGCACTAGAGCAAATGAATTTCCAATCAAATCAACTCTCCCAGTCTCATCAAAACTACCATTAAATGGACTGGGTAAGAGATAGCCACTTGGATTGTCAGGGTTGTGGTTGAACCTAGGAGATGCTTTTCACAGAAGACCCTCCTCACCACTTTCCACGTGAGCCCTTGGTTCCAGAAGGATGACCCCTCCTCCAGGGTGAACAAGGTACCCCCAATCGGGGCCCCGAATGCTGCTGCAATTCCAGCGGCTGCCCCTGCTGACACGAAGTTTCGCTTGTCCCTGAGTTGGGTGGGGGTGGGGGGAGAAAGAGAAAGAGAGAGAGACATTGGTTTATCCCAGAAGGAGCCCTCAGGCCACAGACGCCAGTTTCTCCCTTCCTCATGCAAGAACACTTTGTCTCATGACCTCTGAGCAGTCAGGGATCACATGAGGGCAGCGCCCTGGCAAGGCAGTCTCAGCAGAGCGCAGATAGTACCAAGGGCTCCCCGCATCAGGGTCCCCTCAGATGCAGCAGTTCCTCTGCTGGGAAGGAGAGCTTCCTGACACCTGCTCACTTTGTGATCCCTGAATCTCAGTCCCCAGCTCAGAAGGCAAAGCAGAGCTTGCTGACAGTCCTTCCTTCCTTCCAGAAAACCGAGGTCAATGTGTTTGCTGGTTACATGCAGAGGTGAATGATGACTTGGAAGAATGTACAGATGGGAAGGTGGTCCCCAACCCTGAACTAGGCCTCATGAGTCCAAGGGCCTTCCAAGCTGTGTAGGTCAATAGCCCACACAAATCCACAGGGCTAGACAGCCCACCAAGAAGGCAGGGAGGCAGCTAACTGAGGAAATCACTCGGCAATGCAAATGCCTTCCTGGTAACACTCCTGCCTATGGACTTTTTTTTTTTTTTTTTTTGAGATAGAGCCTCAAGCTGTCCCCCTGGGTAGAGTGCTGTGGGATCACAGCTCACAGCAACTTCCAACTCCTGGGCTCAAGTGAGTCTCCTGCCTCAGCCTCCCAAGTAGCTGGGACCACAGGCGCCCGTCACAACGCCCGGCTATTTTTTGGGGGCGGAGGTTGCAGCCGTCATTGTTGTTTGGCAGGCCCGGGCTGGATTCAAACCCACCACCTTAGCTGTATGTGGCTGGTGCCTTAGCCACTTCAACCACAGGCGCCGAGCCCCTATGGCCTTTTTTAACTGGGTTTTCAATCTTGGACCATCTTCATTTGCCTAGGATGTTTCTAGGCCTTGTGCCACGACAAAATAAAAGTCATGATGCCAACTTGGTCCTGGGCTGCTTATTTCCAGAAGAATAATTCAAAGCCTACCTCTTTTTTTTATACACAGGGTCTTACTCTGCTGCCTGGGCTAGAATGCAGTGGCATTTTCATAGTTCACTGCAACCTCAAACTCCTGGGCTCAAGTGACTCTCCTGCCTCAGCCTTCCGAGGAGCTGGGATTATAGGTATGTACAACTGTGCCTGGCTAATTTTTCTAATTTTTATAGAAATGGAATCTTGCTCCTTCTCAGGCTGGTCTCTAACTCCTGGTTTCAAGTGACCTTTCTGCCTTGGCCTCCCAAAGTGCTGGCATTACAGGTGAGAGCCACCCCTCCCAGCCCCACCTCACTTTCTACCAGCTGGGTTTTGCATGCAGCCTGCCTAGCAGGGGAGACTGAGCCAGGGTGGGGCAAGTACTAGGTCTGACTGGCAGTACAGGAACATTTGGTTTTTATAAAAAGAAAACCGATTCCTAACCTTTCATACCTGTCGCTTCGGAAATAGGGGAAGTTAAACTGGATCTTCCGTAAGGAGATGCTCTGAAACTAAAACAAGAGAAGACAAAGTCATGGGGGCCACGAGGACCCAAGCTGCAGGCATCCACGGCACCTGGGCAGGTGTGCTGCAAGGAGGAAGAGTCCAGAACAACTCGGATAAAAAAGAAGTTAACGCTTTGGGAGAAGCTTATTTTTCCTGCCCCCAAATTTCTAGGCCCTTCTGTAACTGCATTTTGTTCATAGTCAACAAATCAGACAAAGAGGAAACAGCCCAGCTGAGGGCTGGGAGGAAGTGAAAGCTGCTAAGGCGACCGAGTCAGCTCTGGTCAGGGCATGCTGACGAGGGAAGGGGCCAGCAGAGCCACTGCTCAGTCTGCCCTGCAAGGTCTCAGGCTGATGCCCACGCCACACCCTGCCCCTTTCCGCTTTTCAGCTCACTTCTGTGAGACCTGGAACTTGAGGCTTAGCAAGACAGGGATCAAAAGATGTGCTATGGAAGAAAGAATCTTCCCTCCTCCGCCCAGCAACTCATCAGGCAGGGCAAGAGAGGGAAATGACAACACGAGACGGTTCACGGGGAATTGAGACTTGTACAACCTGCAGCCCAGGAATCTGCAACAGCCCTTGAGAATGGGAGTGATAATAACTAATCACTTAAAGTGGTCAAAAAGAAGAAGGAAGTTAAGAGTCTGGCACACAGACCACTCAACCAGCAGCTATTATGACTTTCCATGTTTAATGGGATCGGCACGGAACTGAGCCTAAAACCATTCCAGCTGATGCTTTCCTGCCTCTTGGGACTTGACAGCACTGACAGCTCTGTCAGGCCACCCTCTGTGGAGGGGCTTGTGATGGCTGTGGAAGCTCCAGGTGACCTTCATTTGTCTAGGTCACTCCCCTCACCTCCGCTATGTCCCGTTTCCACTCCTAGGACTCAGCTGGGCATTATTAAAACTTGGAAGTATAAGTTATGCACTTTCCTGGGAAATAAACCAAATAGTTTCCTTTTTTTTTGAGACAGAGACTATCACCCAGGTAGAGCAGTGGCATCATTGTAGCTCACAGCAACCTCAAATGCCTGGGCTCAAATGATCCTCCTGCCTCAGCCTCCTGAGTAGTTGGGACTACAGGAGACACGGTCTTGTTCCTGCTCAGGCTTGGGTTGAATTCCTGACTTCAAGAATTTGCCTGCCTCAACCCCCAGAGTGCTAGGATTATAAGTGTGAGCCATGATGCCTGGCAATCACACTTTTCAAAGTAAGCCAAAGTGGCACCAAGTTCTGAAGTCATGTGAAGATACTTTTGTGGATTTTTCCAAATTCAACCACACAGACCTGCCCCTAGGGCTGCCCAAGAGGCCCGCTCTGAGGGACATAGCCTCACAAGCCCGGCTACCCTTACCTGAGGGAGGCCAGCTCCCACCACCGCGCCACTGTGGACCATGGGGCCTTCTTTACCCACAAAGAGCCCTGGGAACAATGAAAAAGGCAAGATCACAGGTCAGCACAGAGAGGCCTCTGGGTCAGGAGACCTTTGCTACATAAGCCTTTCTCTCGACGACTATGAAGCAGAGATGACTGCATGACTTTATAAGAGAAAGAATTAGCCACATTTCCATCAAATAAGTTCTGCTGAAGGTCTTACTATAAGAGAAACTACTCTTTACATTCTAAATCAAGGGTTAGCAGAGTATAGTCCAAGGGCAAGACCCTGCCCATTTTTGCACAGCCTGAGCACTGAGGATTGCTGTTTAGCTCCTGATTATAGCTCTTGCACTCCTAATCAGGTACACTAAATAGTTACATTAACCAACTGCATAATATATTGGATTTTGCCTCGTAGCTCCACAAGGCCTAAAACATTTACTCTCTGGCCATTTACACAGAAACCTTGCTGACTTTGCTAAAAGCTAATTCCACAAACTAACCAGATGGTCATTCTACTTCAAAACAGAGTAGTGTGTGGTTCGGTCTCTCTCATTGGTCACGTACTAACAGTGTCTGTGTTTTTTTCTTTTTTTAAAAAAAAAAAAAAAACAATCAACAAAAATAAAAGTGCAGACACTGTGTGCAGGAGGGTGGGCCCTGTAGTCCTCATCTGACATCTACCCACAATGCTTCTGGTCTTCTTTACCCCTTGATCACCTGAAGAACAAAAGTCAGAAAGATCTTCCTCACCTCCAGCCACACTGAACAGCACTCCAAAGACCTTGCAGACCAGGGTTCGGAGACGGACGATTCCTGGAATCTTCACACCATTCAGATAGCATTTGATCTCGGGTATCCCAGAACCTGCTGCCACGGGCTAGTGGGAGACACCGGACATGCCCATCAGCTCAAAATCCATGATTCTTCAGCGCACCCCCCAACTACCTCAGCAGAGAAAGAGGGAAAACTGTTTTCCATCAGGAGCATCAGTGACACCTGGATGGCTTGTTAAACCACAGTGGCTGGGCTCAGTGTCTCTGACTCAGTAGGCCTGGGGGCAACAGTGGGATCCGTATTTCTAGCAAGGGCCCGTGAGTCAGCATCACCCAGGAACCCTACAACAACCAGCACAGGCACCTCACCTCCAGAGACTCTCACTATCTAAGCAGGAGAGGCCCAGGTCTCAATATGGTTTTTTTTTTTTTTTTGAGATAGAGTTTCAAACTGTTGCCCTGGCTAGAGTTCCATGGCATCACAGCTCACAACAACCTCCAACTCTTGGGCTTAAGTGATTCTCTTGCCTCAGCCTCCCAAGTAGCTGGGACTACAGGTGCCCACCAGGATGCCCAGCTGTTTTGGGGTTGTAGTTGTTATTGTTGTTTAGCTGGCCCAGGTTCAAAACCACCACCCTAGGTGTATGTGGCTGGTGCCCTTGCCGACTGAGCTACAGGTGCCACCCTGAATATATTTTTTTTAATTTTTCAGGAGATTCTAATGTGCCACCAAGGGTGAGTAACCATCATCGTAATCTGTGTTTTTCCTTTCATTTCACCAGAGACTGAAACCTCTACTTAACAAACACCTCTACATGGACCAGAGGCCACTTTCCCTGTTGTTTCCTACACTGCAGATGCAGAAGTGGACACAGGACTTTGGAGCATAGGACTCCAGAGCCTCATGAGGGAACAGGCAAGCCCACGCCACCTCACCTCGATTAGCACGAGAAGGCTTGCCAAGAAGACGAAGGTCAAGTTAAAACCCAAGAGTTCCAGGAGAGAGAGGGCGAGGCAGCCCTTCTGGCTGCACTCCTCCACCGCTGCAGAAACTGGGTTAAGGAAACTGTGTTCACCAGCCAAGCACTGCCATCACTTGGAGGGCTGTAGCGTCTCCTCCTCTACATCCTGGTGGCAGCTCAGTGCAAGGCTTCTTGTCCTCCATATACAATTTGTATAAAAACTGCCTGAGCTGTCTTCCACCCGAGAAACCATCTTACCAAATACTGTGAACGTTGCCAGCAGTAGCCAACACACATACCCTCACACCTCTAGCTATACACATCTCGACGATATTCCGCATTTGCTCCCGATGTTTTTTAAAACATTAGGTACCATTTTTAAAAACTTCTGTTTTTCCTTTCTCTCCCCCGGAAACGCTGCTAAGTGAATATTACGTATCCTTCCCTACATATTCTGGTATCTATACTCTTCTATCTTGCCCTTTACGTAAGTTCTACACCTTCCTTTTCTCTCTACACTGAGTTTCTGAGAATGAGCCATGTTGAGATGCATAGCTCTGGTTCCTTCATTTTAACTTCTGTATACAATTATATTGTAGGAGCGTACCATAATTTCCCCCTTCTCCTATTTGGTGGTTGCAGGTTTTTGCCATCACGAAGCGGCAATGAGCTCCTTTGTATGTGTCTAAGGCCCTCGTCTAGAGAAGGAATTTCTGAGTCACAGGAACATGCACTTTCCTCGTGGCCAGTTTCCCTCTTCCGAGAATCTCTGTTCACATCCTTTGCTCATTCTTCTTCTATTGAACTGTTTGAGTTTTTTCTTACTAAGTTACAGGAACTTTTTTTATATTTTAGATACGGTTTGATTTTTTTTTTTTTTTGAGACAGAGTCTCACTTTGACACCCTCAGCAGTGTGCTGTGTTTTCATAGCTCATAGCTCACGCTCTGGGGCACAAACAATCCTTTCATCTCAGCCTCCCGAGTAGCTGGGACTGCAGGTGCCCACCACAAGGCCCGGCTATTTTTAGAAACAAGGTCTCACTCTTGCTCGGGTTGGTCTTGAACTCCTGAGCTCAGGCAATCACCTGCCTTGGCCTCCAGAGTGCTGGGATTATGGGTGTGAGCCACTGCACCTGGCCTAATTATCTGACTATTTTATTTTTTTTTAGAGACAGAGTCTCACTTTGTCACCCTTGGTAGAGTGCCATGGTGTCATAGCTCACAGCAATCTCCAGCTCATGGGCTTAGGTGATTCTCTTGCCTCAGCTTCCCAAGTAGCTGGGACTATAGGTGCCCACTACAATGCTTGGCTATTTTTTGTTGCAGTTTGGCTGGGGCCGGGTTTGAACCCACCACCCTCAGGATATGGGGCTGGCGCCCTATACACTGAGCCACAGGAGCTGCCCTATTTAACTCTTTTTTTTTTTTTTTTTTGTGATTTTTGGCCGGGGCTGGGTTTGAACCCGCCACCTCCAGCATATGGGGCCGGCACCTTACTCCTTTGAGCCACAGGCACCGCCCCCCCACTTGACTCTTAAATGCATAATAATTTCCCGCAGACTGTGGACTTGCTTTTCCACTTTATTCATTATTTTATTATTGTTGTTTAGAGTTTTTGTGTTTACTCTGATGCAGTCGTGTTTACTGATGTTTTTCCTTAGAGTCTGTGCCTTCAGGAGTTTTATTTCAGAAATCATTCCCCACTCTGGACGTCATACAGTTTCTTAAAGTTATTTTGCTTATTTACATCTCTAATCCATCTGGAATTTATTTACAGTGTGAAGCAGGAATCTAATTTTACACTCTTCCATATGGATAATCAATGTACATTTAAGAGATGGGGTCTCGCTGTGTTGCCTGGGCTGGAGTGCAGTGGTTATTAACAGGTGCAATCACAGAGTCACAGGGCACTAGAGGGCTTCAGAGAGCCTCCCCTATACTTCAAATCTTATGTCTTCACGTTTGGTAGGTCAAGTTCACCTGCTTGCTGTTTGAGACTATCTCAAACTGTCTCACTTTGGGCCCTTTACCCTTCTATACACATTTAGAAAGAATTTGAGCTCCACAATAAGTACTTAGTGGACTTTTGATTGGAATTACATTAAATTTATAGACTGCCTGGGGAGAACAGACATCTTTGTGGAATTTGTGTCTTACCACCCATGAATATGAGTATATCTCTATTTATTAAAGCTTTCCCTTTATGTGGGTCGTGACCCACAGGAACTGTATTAAAGGGCCACAGCAGTAGGAAGGTTGATAACCACTGTTTTGTGTCTTTCAATGATAAATTAAAAACCCTCAAGCTGAATACCTCACAAGTAGCTTTTCTAACACCATGTTTACCGTTAAACCCGTTTCTACACAAGGAAGAGTCTGATGTGGCCGCTGCAGTCCAGGAACCAAGGAAAGGATACATGCTTGTACCACTCCAAACTTGAGCTGGGTGAAAAGTCGCACAAAATAGTCCACAAAGAGACCCACCTGTGAAGAGCAAGTGATCCATCAGCCTCACTGCCAGGCACATCACAGGTGCGCTGCTCATGAAAGCACCACATCCCCCCAGCACGTCTGGTGGCAGGTCAGTTACCAACCAGCGACAACGTGAGAATGAGCTTCCTGTTAGTCACTCTGACTTCTGAGGTCCCTGCTCCAGCCTGGTCCCACTGCCCCTCCAAAGAACAAAGGCAGAGGGTCCAGCAAAGTTAAGGGAAGCAAATTTAAACAAGGAGGGAAAAGGACGCAGAAAAAGATGTGACACCAAGAAAGACCATTCATGGTTAAAGAGTAACAAGAATCACTCAACTTTTTTTCCAGAAAAGCAGTTTCAAAAGAACTCCATAAATGTGTGCAGTGCTTCTTAGCTGAATAAGCATACAACTTAGGATATTACTTTTAAAAACATCACTTGCTTAAGTGCTTGTAGTTTTTATGTGTTCATAATGAATGCTCTATCTTTACAAGTCATTATTTTGACTTATAACCATCTGATAGTCAGTGGTCACCTTGGGGAGAGAAAAACCATCCACTCCACTCTCTTAAGTGCTCGGGGCTTAAAGAACTAGAAAGACTTCTAATTTTGTGGATTCAGGATCAAAGGCTTCACGCCTTCAACTCTGGCCTTCCCTCACGCCAACACCTGGGGGCTTTTTCATACTGAAGTCATAAGTGGCTGTGGATTAAAGGACAGAGAGCTGGGGTGCCATGTCATAAAGGCAGGTCTGCCTTCCTAGAAGACAAGGGTGGGAGGTGAAGTTGCTTCAGGCTGAACATCCCCTATTAGAAATGCCCACCACAGAAGTGTTTTGGATTTTTTTTGGATTTTGGAATATTTGTATTACACGGCTTGAACATTCCTAATCAAAAAATCCAAAGTCTGAAACCTGAATCTCCTAAGAAGCATTTCCTTTGAAGGTCATGTTGGTATTCAAAAAGTTTCAGATTCTGGAACATTTTGGATTTTCCAATTAGGGATACTCAATATGCAGTAGTATTAATAAATGGCAGTTCAAAGGACTTTGATATAAAAGTAGCAGAAAGACTAATGCAGGGGTCCTCAAACTTTTTAAACAGGGGGCCAATTCACTGTCCCTCAGACTGTTGGAGGGCTAGATTACAGGCCCCAGGACGAGTCAGCTGCTAAGCAGGACAGGCAGTGGCAGCAAAAACACCTGGTGGGCTGGACAAATGTCCTAGGCGGGCTGCATGCGGCCTGCAGGCTGTAGTTTGAGGACGCCTGGACTAATGACTAGATGGTTCATGACTATGCCTAATATAGGGGAATTTGTGATCTGAAAGGCATGTAGCAAAACAGGCACTCTGACAATTTTTCTACAAGACAATTAAATCAACCCAAGATTCCCCCAACAATGGTATCCACCACGGTGTCACCAAGGAGACCTTCTGAATGCCCTTAAATTTACTTGTGAATTTACTACAGCAAAAATTTAATGCATGTCACGGAAATAAAAATTGTGGCTGGCCCTTGTAGCTACATTATACCACTGATACATATCTGTGTACATTTTATAGATGTAGCAAGGATAGTTCAGTACGAGGCTGGTGGCCACTTGTTGAGAAGGTTTCTGAGGACAAGACAAACCCATCATTTTTGCTGGCTGCTGATTTTCCAGTTTCTCTTCCTCGTGTTTGACAAGGTTAAGTCAGCAGTCACAGTCCCACAGCTTGTGCTACTGTGATCTCTGGCAATGTTTTCAATCTTTCCTGGTCTGTGATTCACCTGTGAACTTGCTGAGCCCAGAGAAGTCTGTCCATTCAGGCGTCTCCCTCCACCCACAGCTGCCAGCTCTACCTCCTAGATTGCACGTAACATTAGCAGGGAGGAGCCCGGAACAGCATGATAAATTCCCTGAGTGATATACGTGGTGTCCCACCCTGCTGGCTGGCACGCTATGCTAAATAAAGGGTTCGCTGCTCATAGTCTGGGCCTCCTACTTTGCTTTTCCCCAGAGTGACTTCACCATCCACTATGGATATGACCCACTATATCACCTACCTGAGAGATAGGTATGTTATCAGGGAGTTACAGATTATGGCCCATAATCATATCATAAAAGCTGTGACCAGACCTTTGAGTGCTTTAAGAGCAGCAGGTCTCACTTTCACTTCACAAAACAAAAGCAAAAGTAAAACTGTGCCAGGATTAATTAAATAAAAAAAAGGAAAACACAGTCTTGTTTGCAATGACAAGTGTTCTAAGGTCACACATGTTGTAATAGCAAATGCCCGGTGAGATTTGCCAGGCCAGGCTTTCCCTCTGGACCCCCCCCCCCCAGCCCTTGGGGCCCTGCCTGCTCACCAGCCCAGTGCAGACTCCGATGGCACACACCACCAGCCACTTCACGGCCTCGAACCTGCGACCTTTCTGTTCACACAGGAAAAGAATGATTCAGTTTGCTACAGGGTCATGTTGACAGTGCGGAAGGAAGATGCCTTGACCAACTAGTTTTAGACTGATTACCCCGTGGACAGAAAGCCCAGTAAGATGATGTCTGGATCCCAGGAGCTTTACAAAGCAAAAAACAATGAACTCTACGGGGCTGGGCCAGGCGCATGGACAGTGGCACTCTGCTTGGGAGGATGAAGGTCCGCAGAATAAATGCCAACACAGGCAGACCTTGGAGATGTTCTGGGTTTGGTCCCATACCCCCACAATAAAGCAAATATCACAATAAAGCGAGCTACATGCATTTTTTGGTTTCCCAGTACATATAAAATGTATGTTCACGCTATACCATAGTCTATTAAGCATGTAGCACTATGTGTAAAAATTAATGTACATATCTTAACTAAAAAAATACTTTATTATTAAAAATTAGCAACACAGAGACAAGAAGTGAGCACATGCCACTGGAAAAATGGCATTTTGCTCAATGCTGGGTGGCCATTAACCTCCAATTGCCAAAAGTGCAGTATCTGCAAAGCTCAATAAAGCAAAGCGCAATACACAAGGTGGGCCTGTGTCTCATGAAAGGCAACCCCCCCCCAAGCATTAAGGATATTTAGGAGGGCATTTAGAAAAGGAAAAAAAAAAAGCTATCTTAAGACCTATTTGGTCCCAAGAGACCAACCAGTGCAGAACTCACCTTATTATCCATGGTCTCCAAAACTTCCAGGTAAGGGTCATTGATACAGCGATCATAATCCAAACTCTGAAAGAGGCACACGTGAGTAAAAAAGTCACATCCAGGTAGGCAGACTTCTCAAACTCTACAAAGGGACAAAATTCGGGGTTCCTGCTAGGGGACCCTTGGGCAGAGCTATGGGCAGAGCAAGCAGCTGGTTAGAGATGTGTCTCAGACCGGCAGCACAAGAGTCTGTTCTTTTATCAAAATCCCAGGTGACACGCGTGTACTTTCAAAGTTTCAGGAGCACTTCCTTAGGCTCATACTTGATGCTTTAGATTACATATTTTAAAACTTTCTGTTTCTGCAAAATACTTTAAAGACCTTCTGTTATCACCAGTCTTACCCAACCTAGTCCACAAGATGTGAACAGAAGCTTCAGTCAACCAGAACCAATTCATTAGAAACTCAATTATCTTTGGAGTCAGCGTCTATGAAAATGAGATTAGTCACAAGACAAACTAATGAGGAGACTATTTCTAAAAACAACTTCTAGTTTATGTTAGGAACAGGAGCAGATTCAGCCCAGCTCCTAAAATTTCTGTGTCTAAATCTGTTTTCTTTAAACCATGCCTCACAGAATACAGGTACTCTATAATTTGCAGGTATGCCACAGAAATTTAGAGAAACAATTCAAAGGAAATAATTTTATTTCTGTGTCTTCCAGATAAGGGGCAGCCTGGCCACAAAGGAAAATGGTTTGCCAGTTGCTCTCTCCTTCCCGGGACCTGCTCCTGCCACGTCAACCAAACACACGTGATGTGTGACAATTTATTCTATCTATAGGACTATCCAGAGAAGTCCAAATTCCTTTTTTATGACTCCTGGAGTATCAACAGGTGATTGACTGAATTAATCATCATTCATCCAAATAGAAGGCTTTGTAGCAATAAAATATTTATATCAATATGGTTAGCTATGAAAAATGTCCAAAAACTATTAAGAAAAAAAGACACAATTAAAAAATAAAAATTAAGCAAGAGACAGAATAAAATGTATACTATAATCCCATTTTGATCAAACAAAATTAGAATTATTTGTCAGCATACACAATGCAAAAACACATGGGAAAACATCCGTGAGTTGGTGTTTTATTTTTTTTGTTTGCTTTTTTTTTTGAGACACAGTCTCACTTTGTCACCCTCAGGAGAGTGCTGTGGTGTCACAGCTCACAGCAACCTCAAACTCTTGGGCTCAAGTGATTCTCTTGCCTCAGCCTCCCAAGTAGTTGGAACTATAGGCATCTGCCACAACACCCGGCTACTTTTCTCAGCCGAGGTCTCACTCTGGCTCAGGCTGGTCTCGAACCTGTGAGCTCAGGCAATCCACCTGCCTCGGCCTCCCAGAGTGCTGGGATTACAGGTGTGAGCCGCCACGCCTGGCCTTGAGTTGGTATTTTAGAGATGTTCGTATCTGAGCATTGTTTGAAATTCTCATAGTATACAGGGTGTGCTTTTTATATTTTAAAAAATTATCTTTATTTTCTGATTAGAAAATTAAAAAAAAACCAAAAGTGAGTAAAAATACTTCAGGTGGGAAACTAGACTCATCCATCAGTGTTACACACACACGTTGTAGGGGCCAGGAAGAAAACCTTCCCCATTCTCCCTCTGAAGGTCTGCTGAAAATGAGCTGACAGAGGCAGGATCATAGGAGAAATGGCTGACAGATTTACTTCACATGCACAGCACAGGAGATCTGCAGAAGAATGATTACCCAATGACCCAGTGAGGTCCAAATGCTTCTACACCCTTCTTCAGAGAGGAAAGGGAGATGGGAATACAGAAGTAAATAATTTTTAGGGGGCAATGGGTGCACCAGGGAGGAAGACATCATCTTGTGATCATTCTCTTTGGAAACTGAAGAGGACCAGCCAGCTAGCCACGGTTTGGCGCAAAGTCTGTCTTGGGCTCTAGGTGTGGAGTTTGATTTTCAGTCTCTTCCTCTGTGAAATGAGTTTTAATCTTCTCTGGTTAATTAAATTTCAGGAAAGGAATCAAATTGTGTTCCTATTTGGTGGCTCTGGTTTCTAGGCAGATAAAGAGACTTCAGAGAACAGTGTCATCCTGTGCTTTGGAAGAGACAAAGCGTTGAGGGACAGGAAAACAGGAAGGTCGGAGAGACCTTAACGCTGCTTTTTTAGTTTAGCCTGTCAATAAACCACATTCCCAGGGATCATTTTCTGAGTCCAAACAAAATACATATATATGTGTGTGTGTGTATACATACACACACATACACAATTAAAAAAAATCAATTAAGTGACATCATATTCTAGAAACAAACCAAAAAGAATAAAATGTTAAAAAATACAAGGCCAGGGTGGCACCTGTGGCTCAGTGAGTAGGGCGCCGGCCCCATATACTGAGGGTGGTGGGTTCAAACCCGACCTCAGACAAACTAACTGCAGAAAAAAAATAGCTGGGCGTTGTGGTGGGTGCCTGTAGTCCCAGCTACTCAGGACGCTGAAGCAAGAGAATCGCCTAAGCCCCAGAGCTGGAGGTTGCTATGAGCGCCATGGCACTCTACCGAGGGTGACAAAGTGAGACTCTTGTCTCTAAAACATAAATAAATAAAAAATACAAGGCTAGGCCCAGGCCTTTAGCTTAGCGGCTAGGGTACAGGCCATATGCAGTGGGGCTGGGGGGTTTGAACCCGACCAGGGCCTGTCAAACAACAATGACAATTACAACAACAAAAAAGATAGCCGGGCATTGTGGTGAGCGCCTGTAGTCCCAGCTACTTGGGAGGCTGAGGCAATAGAATTGCTTAAGCCCAAGAGTTGGAGGTTGCTGTGAGCTGTGATGCCACGGCACTCTACCAAGGGCTACAAAGGGAGTCTCTGCCTCAAAAAAAAAAAAAAAAAAGAAAGAAAGAAAGAAAGAAATACAAGGCCAGTATGAAGATGAAGGCTCATGCCTGTAATCTCAGCACTTCAGAATACCCTGACCCCAGGAGTTTAAGACCAGACTGGGCAATATAGTAAGACCCTGCCTTAGAAAAAAAAAAGACAAATATGAATATCCAATACCCTTCTGTGATGTTGTAAAATACAGAGGGTGCCAAAAAATGCATACACATTTTAAGGAAGGCAAAAAACTATGTTAAAATTGTAATACTTAACATATACCGCTAACAAAAGATAAATACACATCATGTTGGAACGCCTCAGAAATCAAATGTGAGTGGAGTATCACAAATTTAATACAGTTTTTCCTTTCTTAAAATGTGTATACACTTTTTGGTCTCCTCTCTATATTCGTCTTTTTTTTTTCTTCTTTTTAAGATGGACTCTTATCTGTTACCTGAGGTAGACTATAGTAGTGTCATTGTAGTTCACCGCAGCCACAAACTCCTGGGCTCAAGTGATCCCCCTGTGTCAGCCTCCTGAATAGCTGAAACCCCAGGCATGCACCACCATGCCAGGCTTTATTGTTGAAAATTTTGTAGAGACAGGGTCTCACTATGTGGTGCAGGCTGGTCTCGATCTCCTGGCCTCAAGTAATCCTCCAGACTCAGGCTGCCAAAGTGCTATGATTCTAGGTGTGACCCACTGTGCCCCACCTGGTCTTTTTTTTTTTTTTTTTCTTTTAAATACAAGGTCTGGCTCTGTCACCCAGGTTGGAGTGCAATAGTGCAATCAACTGCAACCTCAAACCCCTGGGCTCAAATAATCTTCCTGCCTCAGCCTCCTGAGTTAGCTAGAACTGCAGGTGTGTACTGCCGTACCCAGCTAATTAAAAAAATTGTTTTTTGTAGAAACAGGGTCTCACTACACTGCCCAGGCTGCTCTCGAACTCCTGGCCTCAAGTGATCCTCTAACCTCAGCCTTCCAAGCTACTGAGTTGTTGACCAGTTACCTGGCATCTAGCACTTCAAGTCCAGAGTGTCTCCTACATACTAATGAGATGACTTGGGGCTGAGGGACCCGAGATAGCTTCAGAAAAGGGGCTGGTCATCAGAAAGACCAAGGCAGGATTAAAGGAGGGAGACTTTTAGCCCCAACCTGCAGGAAGGGGGGAGGGGGTGAAAGTTAAGCTGATCACTGATGGCCAATGATGTACACGATCATGTCTGAATAATGAAGTTTCTAAAAAACCCAAAAGGATAGGGTTCGGAGAGCTTCTAGACAGCTGAACATGGGCAAGTTTCCAGAGGCTGCATGCCCAGAGAAGGCACAGAAGCTCCAAGCCCCTTCCCACACACCTTGCCCTGTGCATCTCTTCATTTGGCTCTGTATCCTCTATTATAGTAAATGCCCCATTACCTGGAACTCAAGCAACCTGTACTCTCCAGCAATCAGCACGCAACCTGGCCAAAAACAAAATCAAAGTTTAAACCTGGTGACAGTGCTGACGCTTTGTGCATCACTCCTAAGGCTCCCACGTGTCCTCTGTAACAGTTTTAAGTGTTAGTGGGTGTTACTTTTAGTTAAAAAAAATATGGTAGTGAAGTAGTAAAGTATATTGGCTGCCATTTAACTAAATTTATACACTGCATTTATGAAGCTGTTTTCTAATATAGCAAAAAACTGTGTTCAGTAAGTGAAGTTTGCCTTTGTCTTAATTTACTTTTTACTTAGTGTATTTCAACATTAATATCAAGTCAATACAGACTTTGTGGTATGGTAAAAATGAGGTATAGAATTAGTTAGGACTATTCTTTTTTTTTTTTTTTTTGAGACAGAGCATCAAGCTGTCGCCCTGGGTAGAGTGCTGTGGCATCACAGCTCACAGCAACCTCCAACTCCTGGGCTCAAGCGAGTCTCCTGCCTCAGCCTCCCAAGTAGCTGGGACCACAGGTGCCTGCCACAACGCCCGGCTATTTTTTGGTTGCAGCCATCCTTGTTTGGTGGGCCCGGGCTGAATTCTAACCCGCCACCTTAGGTGTATGTGGCTGGAGCCTTAGCCACTTGAGCCACAGGCGCCGAGCCAGTAATAATTTTATAAATAAATTTTGTAAATAATTTTATAAACATGTATCAGTGGAATATATGAACCATTAAAGCCAGATATTGCTACTTCTTC